ACAGGTCTGAAAGAGCTGGAGAGCACCCCCCTCCATTTTCCCACGGGAGAGGCTGAGGACGGTGGGGGGGGGCACACGGGAAAGGCCATGCTCCAGTTCCCATGGTGCCCAAGCGCCTTGGCCGGACCGGAGGTGGCTGATGGGAATTGGGAGTCCCCTCCCGCCCCTGTGCGGGAAATCCCTTTGCAATTCATTCCCTCTGGAACCGCGGGGATTCAAAGGGGTGGAAAGGGCTGGAGGCTGGGGGTTTGGTTCCCACTCGGGGCCTCCCCGACCAGGGCTGGACTCAAAAATCCATTAAGGGTCCTTCCAGCTCAGCTGTGCCAAGGGGAGCGAGGAGGTGTAAGGGGGGGGGAACAGAGACACATCCGATTTGAGAGGGATCTCTTCGTGGGAGGAAGGCCAGCCACGTCACACAGGTGGGGGTGGCTGTGCTCAGAAAAGGAGGAGACACAAGGGTGGGCTGGAGTGTGTGTGTGGAGGGGGTGGCCACCAGAGACCTGCTGCCGCCATGGCCCAAAGACCCCAGGCATGGGCAGGAAGGGGAGCGAGGGACCCCGTTTTTTCCCTGCAGCAGCTCTCGGGCGGTTGCTAGAGAGAGAGAGGAGGGCAAGAGGCCAGCCTGCACCCCGGCTGCTGGCAGAGCGACCTACTCTCCCTTCCGAAGCCTGGCTGGCCAGGGCCGCAGGCACAGGCTGGCACCCTGGCCTGAAAGCCGCCGCCCTGGGGACGATGGGCTAGGTCACTGCCAGGACAGGGAGGTGGAGGGGAGAGGAAACAGCTAAGCGGCTTCTCTCCCTCTGCAAAAGGTGGGTTTTACGGGACCCCATGTAGGCTTCCAACCCCTGCCACCGTTTCCCCGGCCGAACTTTAAAAAGTAGCAGGTGGCACATGGGAGCGCAAGATGCAGGAGGAGGCGGCCCTGGTGGGTGGGTAGGTGATGGACACAAGAGGGGGGAAAAAACAAGGCGGCGTCAAACGGAAGACTTGGCGGAGCCACGCTAGGAGGAGGAGGAGGGAGTGCGGAGTGAAGCAGAAACAAAAACCAAACTGAACCAATAAATAAATAAATAAATAAAATAAGTAAATAAATAAAGGGGGGGAGAAAAGAAAAAAAAGAGCACAGTAAAAACAGGAGGAAAGAAACAGGAGCAAAAGGATACAGAAAGACATTTATTTGAAGCCAAAATAAAAAGAAATACAGAGACCAGCCGATGATGGCTTCCTAACAAGCAAAAAACTAAATGCTACAGAAAAAGATACTACTTTTCATTATAAAATAGTTTTAATTTCAATTTTTTTTCCTTTTTTTGCATTACATTTCCCCTCCCCCTCCCCAAGCCAGGCAATGGAATTTTTTTCCGAGGTGTTTGGTCGAACCTCCCCAAAGAATCCCCTCCCTCCCCCACCAAGACTTAAACTGTAAATCGTTGGTTATCAAAATATACATCTGTTTCGCCGTAAAAACTTGGGTTCTGCCCTCCCCTCGTGTCTCACAGAGGTATAAAAAAGTATAAATATTTACACCTTTTTTTCTCATTTACTCACATTTACATGCAACAAAGAAACCACACACACACACACACACACACACACACACAAGCACCCCCAGCCCAAACACAGTATTTATACTGGAATAACAAAAAATTTTTTTAAAAAAACCCAAACCCAGACAGAAATGCCCCTCTCTCAATTCATTGCAAGGACGTCTGTGGGTCTCTGTAGGACAGTGGGTGCACACACACAAACAGAAAAAAACAAAGCACACAACAATCCCCCCCCGACACAGACACACACCAGGACAGTAGCCAGTCGCCAATGCCTTGGCTGGGCAGATTCAGGGAAGAAAGGCAACCAGACAAAAAAAGAAAAGGGGGGGTCGTTTCTGAGTCCCTCCCCAAAAAAAGAGGGTCTGGCGAATATTGGGGGGAGAAGAGAGGGGTTAGCTTAAGGCCGTCCAAAACAAGAGGCAGTCGGGAGGTCCCGCCTAATTCGTGGGGGGCCACCACCAGCAGGGTCCTGCTCTGAAAGGGCAAACTGGGAACCTCCCAGTTCGCNCCCCCCCCCCCCCGTCAAAACACACATCCAGAAAAGAACTTAGAAAACGTACTTTCCGGATGACCCAAAAATCTCCTTGGCTGTCTGGCTGGGAGACTGGAAAGAGCGAAGCCCCCAGGGGCCAGCCTGGAAAAAGGACCCCCAGACCTTGCTTTCTGATGAATGGAGGAATGGAAAGCGGGCTGGGGTCGAGGAGACGGGTCAGTTTGGTCACAAGAGACGCCAGGCAGAAGGCATTCCGGGGGGGGGGGAATGGGACGCTGCTCCTTCGGGGCAGGCTTCTGGTGTCAGGGGGGAGGAACAGCAGGGCCTTCTGAAGGCAGCCCTCTGCCCCCCCCCGTGAAGCAGCTGGTGGCCCTTTCCCTGCCCCACATCTGGTGAACCCCCCTCTTGGCCATTCCAGCCTCCAGGGCAGCTGAATCCGGGGCACGCTGGACCTAGGAGAGCCCAGCCTGCTGCAGGAGCGTGCGCTTCCAAAGGCCCGGGCTCACTCCTGCCATGGCCAGTGGGTGGGTCGTTTGACCAGCCGCCCCGTGGGCCAGCTGGCATGGCAGGGGGTTGCTGGGCGGGCTTTCTCACCTCCCACCAAAGCCTGAAAAGAGGCAGGCAGCGGCCGGCCGACCTTCCCTCCCTCGGCCCTAGCCCTGGGCCCCGGCTGCAAAGGGGGTCCCCCCCCCGCAATAGGACTTCTGGGGGCTCAGCTCTCCCAACCGCCCTGCCCTTGCCCGAAGCAGGCAACCCAAGACAGCCCCTCCAAGGAAAACAACAATACACACACACACACACACACAAACCTCCAGCACAGACGGCATCCCATAATATTGGGGATGGCCTTTAAGAAAGGAAAGAAAGAGAGATGCTTTTAAGACTTTTAAAAACCAAACCCACCCACCACCCAGGGAGAAAGCGAAGCCGAGGCCTGCTGCGAAACAGAGCCAGGGAGGTGCCAACCGGCCACAACGTCCATGTATGTTGGGGGGGTGGGGGTGGGGAGAAAAGGAACGAAAAAGTAGAAACTTTGGTCCACAAATTGAAGTAACCCTGATACGAACGAGAAGCTTCCGGTTGTCTTGGAAAATCTCGCCAGAGAGAGAGAGGGAAGGGACAGTAAGGCCACGCTGGAACAAAAAAAAAGCAGGAAGGGGTGGCTGAGGTTCTCCTCCGGGAAAAATAATAACAACAATAATAAAAGGCCTATTCTATTTCCTTAAATAAGGCAGGTTTAAGTATGGATAGAAGGAAGACCGACCCTCCCCTCTGGGGGGGGGTGTCTCTCCCCCTTTTGAAGCCACATGGGGCTTTGCAACTTTAAATACTTCTTCAAAGTATACCATTTTATCTCCGCACAACCCTCCTCTCTGGAGGAACTATTCCTGCACTTTTTTTTCGTTTTGTTTTTTCCAGCTTACAGAGAAATATAAGAGTACAGGATATAAAGGAAAGCAGACAAACAAGTTCAGATACATTTATACCATCTGATCTATCAAACAAACTTATGCTATTGCCTTTCAGGTTTTTGGTCAACTGGAAATATTGCTATGGAAAAAAAAAGAGAGGCGGCTTGTAAGGAAGATTTCCCTCCCCCAAGGAATAAAAAAAGGGATTAAAATAAGAAGCTATCAGTAAAGAGAGGCGCTGGTGTGAAGCAGAGATCAAGGGTTGGGTGCAAAGGCCTCCGGGACCCATTCTCAGGAGGGGGCCAAGCACCCACCAGGATCCGGGCTGGTTCTGATGCTCCGCCCATTGGGAAGCCTACCTGCCAAAGCAGGACCTTCCTGAGGGGGTCAAGGTCCTCTTCCCCCCAATTTTCGACGCCCACACTGGGGAAGAGCCCAGGCGCTGTCCCTGCAAATTCGGACTCTGGCATCGCACCCCAAAAGAAGGCAAGGCGAAGGGGGTCCCAAGAGGGGTGAGAGGATGCCCCCCCAGAAGGCCCCTGGATCAGCCCTTTCCTCCTGGTGGCCACAGTGGCTGCTCTTCCCACCCTGAGCGGAAGAAAACTCTCCTAAGGCACTGGAGGAGCTTGGATAGACAAGGCCACAAAAAAAGGCAGCCCCTGGCCCCCCAAAATCTCCAACCTGCCCCCTCCCCTCCCCAGAAGGCATCTGTGGGTGCTGGGAAGGCAGGGCCGGGGGAGTGTCCCAAAAAGGACAGCAACGGCACAGCATGGGGTCTGGAAAAGGCAAGGCACCGGCTGTGGAGCTGATCCAGACGAAGGGGACAGGAGGGCAAAGGGGGGGGAGGGCGAGAACTTCTCTTTTCCGTGGGGGGGGGGGAAAGGCCGAGGGGGGCTGATTCCCCGG